GCGGAGGGGCGCTGCGTCCCCTCCCCGGCCGCGGCGGTCTGGGACCCCTGCCCTGCACACCCTCGGTCGGGGACAGCGGGACTGGGTTCCAGCCGCAACCGAAGCCGGGTGTCTTTTCCGCCCCCCCCGCCCCCACCCCCGATCCTTGATCCTGGCTTTTGGGGGAAGCCTGTCCCTCCAAAGGAGCACGAGGTCCCCGGGGCTCGGGGCCGGCGAAGTTAGAGAAAGGGGCGGAGGGTGTCCCCCAGATCACCCGTTACCTGAGTTCGCAGGCGACTCCCCGCAAAATCAGGTCCGCAGCCGCACGAGGCCCCTTAGCCCGCTGCCCCTTCCTCCCGCCCCTCCTTGATCCTGGCTTTTGGGGGAAGCCTGTCCCTCCAAAGGAGCACGAGGTCCCCGGGGCTCGGGGCCGGCGAAGTTAGAGAAAGGGGCGGAGGGTGTCCCCCAGATCACCCGTTACCTGAGTTCGCAGGCGACTCCCCGCAAAATCAGGTCCGCAGCCGCACGAGGCCCCTTAGCCCGCTGCCCCTTCCTCCCGCCCCTCCCCCCGGCACACTTTGATCGACCCCCAGGAGGTGGATCAGGAAGGACTGGAGATCGCGTAGACACGCCCCGGACAGGTCCGAGGAACGCCCGGGAGCCCTTGTCATGTAAATACGAGTCCCAGACGTGTGTAAAGTCCCAGCCCGTGGAGCCCCGGGCGAGTCCACACCCATTGTCTGCGGCCCCGAGGGCCACCAGCTGCGGGGGGTTGGGGGGTGCTCGGCTCCCAAGTACAAAAGAGGCGCGAGGAAGTGCGGAGGCGAACTTTTATTTCATTAAGTTTTAATTACACTGGTGCTACAGGAACACATTCTCCTGATTTAATAAGGTTCCGAAGTATTATGTAAGTGGCCCCCTCCCTGGCACATCTCCACCTCTTTGCAATTTGGTGTGTCCCCTCCTAGGCCCTTCCCTAAATATTTATTTTACATGCACTTATGGAGGGCTCCCCTGCCCCCCAAAACTTACCGAATAGTAGTAACTCAACCCAACACCTACTCCGAGAGGCAAGAAGATTATCATCCCCATTTTACAGACCCTGAAACTGGCCTGAGGGTCGCTCGCTTAATGTTAAGGTCACACGCAGGTCCTGGGGCATCTGCTCCCACACGTATGTGTCTAGTTCTTGAAATGTGCATATGTCCCTGGAGTTTTAGCAATGAGCACAGACTATTTTTGTATGGAGCGGGGAAAAGGGGTCTAAAAGTTACTATTTCCTTTTCATAGACTGGAACCAGACCAGAGAACTCAGAAAGCCAGCCCAGGAAGTGCGTGAGTTCTCTCCCTGCACCGGGTACGTTGACGATGACGCCTGCTTCGCCTTCTTAGGAAGGCAGGCAGGAAGGCAGGCAGGAAGCCGTTATTCTGGAGGAGTCGAGCTCAGCAGTGATTGGCTGGTAGGAGCTTTATGGGAAGCCCGCAAGTGCCCAGCACAGAGGGAGGTTCAAACGCACCGACCATCATTCGTTTGGGAGGAGAAGCTTACTCTTGGAGCTGTGGGCGGGGCCTCGCTCTAGGCCCAAGCCCAGGGACCAAGGTGGGGAGAGCCCTCAGGGTCTGCGTGGGGGGTACCCCTCCTGTGGATTGCACACTCTCAGCCCCCACCCCGAGGAGAGTTCAGTTTCTCCAGCAGGCCACCCTCGTGCGGGAAGGTCCTCCTGCAATTTGGCCTCTGTGGCTTGGAGGAAAAGCTGGAGGGATGCTCCTGAGTGTTCTGCCTTCCTTGGGGACCCTGAGCATGTCTGCTGGGCCTGGGGATGACCATGAGTCCCACTCATATTCTAGGTGGAAGGAGACCACCGTCACTGCTACCCATTGCAGCCATTCCTTCATTCATTCAATCAACAAACTTTCACTGAGTTCCAGGCCTGAGTGCTGGGAATTCAGCTATGCTGGACACAACCTCTGCCCTCCTCTAAGTCTACTGGCCGCCTGGCAGCAAAAAAAACACACGTCGATTGTCTTGGGAATGAAGTAGCGTTTATACAGTCCAGGTTAAGCCACCAGCAGGCAAAAATAACCAGTTAATTCAGTGGGTTAAAAAAAAAAACCTACCCACGTTGACCTCTAGTTGATCTGTCTGTCTGGGACAATGGCACTGGCCACTGTTCTGATGGCGGCACCTGGGACTGGTTAGTGGTCTTTGCTTTGGTTCCAAAGTTGATTCAGCCTGGAGGCCTAATGCAGAGTGTCATGCGGGGTACCAGGTGTGGCGGTCACAACTGGATTGCCAAAGATAGGTGCTGGGCACCACCTTACGTGGTGCTGGGGATTTGGTGATGACAGGCACAGAGCCCCCTCTCAGCCGGGCACATGAGGAGGTGTTCATGGGCTGGAGTGGGAAGCTCACTCTGCTGGGGATGGGGATGTTGGGGGGGGGCACCTCTGCTGGGCCATGAGAGAGAGGCCTAAAAAAAAGGAAAGAGGTTTCCTTCATTCGGTCGTAAATATTATGCTCCCTATTCAGGTCAGGCTCTGCATCAGGCATTCCATCCTCATGTGACGTCCTAGGGGTCAGGAGAGTCTATAGGCCCCATGCAAACCCGCAGCTACACTAGGTCACTTCAGGTATGGTAATGATGAGCTAGAGGCCCTGGGTGGTAATCTGGGAAGCCCACCCTGAGGAGGAGGTATTTTATTCATTCTCTTGTTTACTGAGTGTCTACTTAGGGCCGGCTACAAATCCTTGCCCTCCTGGGGCTCATATTCTTACAAGTGGGACAGACAAGAAGTGCGTAAACAGGTAAGTCCAGGTGATGGCTTCAGAGAGGGACAAGAGCTGGAAAGAATACAAAGAGACGTGGCCTGGAGGCAGCTGAGCTCATGGGGTCAGGGCGGCCTCTCTGGGGAGGTGAGAAGGCTGGGATGGAGTCTTGCGGGGAGGAGGGCACAGGTGCCCAGGCCAAGGTCCTTGGTGGAAGAGGAACTAAGGGACTGTCTTGGTCCCAGGAAGTCTGGGATTTGGGACACATTTCTCAAGGCGATTATAGGTCATGGGATTAGGAAAAGTGTGTGTGTCCCCAGGCTGCTGGGGACACGCCTTTTCCAGGCCTCCAGACAGCACGTGCACTGTCGTCTGCCCTGACTGTGGGTTGGATCTGCCACAGGGAGATCTTTAGAGAGACAAGGTCTGGTCTAAGCCGGTCGGGAGGCCTTGCTCCCAGAGGCACGCACCTGCTGGGCAGGGCTCCGGGACGTGGCCGGCTCCACGAGGTGTGACTGGTACAGGTACCACGGCCCAGGCTTGGTTTAATACTCTATTGTCACCATCCTGAAATTCTTCATCATTTTGGAACAAGGAGCCTTGCGAATTCTGCAGTTGGTCCTACTTGGGTGCCAGGTCCTCCTCACTGCCAATTAAGTCAGGAACCCGGAAGGCCAGCATGGGTCTTGGCTGAGGCCAGGGCGGCTGGCGGTGTCCTGACTGTGCCTGCTGGACACTGTGGAAAGTACCCGGCTGAGTCAATAAAGGGCCTTCTTTCGCAGTGAGCAGTGGGGACAAGGCGGATCCCAGCCTCCTCCGGTCGGTCATGTCCCCTCACCTCCTGCTGCCCCCAGGCCTGCGGTCAGAGCTGCCTTTTCCGGAGCAGCCAGAACAGTTAGTTTCACAATCTCTCCTCCCGACTCACCACCTTTGGAAACTCTTGCCGGCTGAGTCATTTTTTTTCCAAGTCCTGCCTGTAGTTTAATCTGCCTGTCAATGTTCCCAGGTTTACATCATTGGACTTCGTATTTATATATATTTTTTATCTTGTTTTGCTTTTAAATACTAACACAAGCTAATGTTACCTGGACACTGCCTGGGTGCCAGGCCCTGTCGTAGTCACTGCATATTCGTCTGCTTCATCATTCGACAGATATGCATCTAGATCCTACGGCCAGCCAGGGTGCGCTCAGTGGATCCCCACGACTGCCCTGTGAGGCCCCAGCTAATATTATTCCCATTCGGCAGATGAAGACGCTGAGGCTCAGGGACCCATGAACGAGGTGGAGTGGGATGTGACTGTAGGCCCTGGCCTCAGCAAACGGTGTTTCTGCCCCTTCCTCCACCCCCACCACCTCTGCGGGCGTCTGCCCTGGCCTTCCGGCTAGACTTGGGCAGCAGTGTCCCCTGGGCTCCTTAGAGGCTCCCAGATGACTTCTGCATGCAGGGGCAGGGCAGAAGTGGGCTCAGGAGGGGAGAAAGTGAAGACCAAACTCAGGCCCTTTCCAGACACCTGCTGCCAGCATCCTGCTGGGTGACCTGGCAGGTAGCTTTACCTCGATAAACCTAAGTGGGGTGTGGAAACAGTTTTCACACTCAGGGTGTGTGCGTGTGTGTGTTTGTGTGTGTGTGTGTGTCAAGGCCTCAGCACAGTGACCTGCAGCATGGAACACATGTGTTTGCGTGTTCACTGTCTGTCTCCACTTGATTGGCAACCCCAGCGGGTGGGACAGCCTGGCGTGTCCTGATGTGTCCCCAGTGGGTGTGTTGATCAGGGTCCATCATGCAGCAGGTGCTTGGCAAACCTCTGAGGAGTAAACAAGAGGCACTACACACACAAACGTACAAGTCCCGTTTCGGACGACCTCCATGACTTGCTGACATTTTTCTTTCTTGCTTGTTCACCCCCCTACCCCCATACATCTCCTTTGGTCCTGTCCCCTGGATGCTCACCTAATGACAAGCTTCTAACCAGGTCCGAGGAAGCCAGATACCTGGGCTAGCACCTACCAAGAATAAGTACTTGTCTGGTACCAGAGCAGAGCCAGAAGTCTTAACCGTAAAGATGCGAGGGTATGTGTATGTGTGTGTGTGTGTGTGTGTGTGTGTGTGTGTGTGTGTGTGTGTGTGGTATGTGTGTTGTGGGTGCATGGGCACGTGTGTGTTGCGTGTACGTGTGGGATGTAGGTGTCTCCTCCACCCCTAAGTGGGGTGTGGAAACAGTTTTCACACTCGGGGTGTGTGTGTGTGTGTGTGTGTGTGTGTTATGTGTGTTGTGGGTGCATGGGCACGTGTGTGTTGCGTGTACGTGTGGGATGTATTCATACTCGTGCTCTGGGGAGTATGTGTATGTTGCGTGTTCTGTTGGTTACGTCATGTGTGTTTCGGTGCTGATACAGGAGCTTAGCTCCTAGACAGATGTCACATGGTTGAGCTCTCTAGCGGCAAAACAAAGAAGCTCTGCCAAACTGGTTACAGACCCCCCCGGCCACCAGGAGAGCCATCTCCTCTCCAGTTTCTCATTTCCAGCAGAGGACTGGGTTCTACAGAGAAGACAGGGCTTTGGGACCAAGGCCAGGAGATAAGGGCTGGGCAGAAGGAAAGGGCAGAAGGAAATGATAGAGCCATATCCTGTCTTCTGACAGAGGGGTAAACTGAGGCCCCGACAGGGACATGACCTGGCCAAGGTCCAGCTGCAGATGAAGTGTGAGCTGAGCTAGGACCCGGTCCTGACCCCCAGCTCAGGCCCCTCAAGGTCTTTGGTCACTGCAAGTCTCCGAATAGGCGTATTTTCTGCCATAGGCTGAGCCCAAGAGGGATTAGGAAAATTCCAGATGTTCAACTCATGTCTGCAACACTTCCAGAAGGGACGGTTCGTCATCGAAGCTGATTTCACAGACCAGAAATACCCAAGCAGAAATGTCCTGTGTCTGTCCCCATGAGGGATTCATGCCACTGTCGTCAAGAGTGATTAATAATGTCAGGCTGAGATTCTCAGTGGCAGGGCCCGGCTGGGTCCTGGCACTCTGCCGCTGGGTTTGAGGGGGTGCTGGCGAAGAAGGGGCTGGGAGGGAGGGCAGAGGCCAGGCTAGTCACCGAGGGTACAGGGAGGGCTGCGTCCGCCTGACTCTGGGTTAGGTCTGTGACAGGCATCTCACCTGGTGCAAATGGACTGGTCCCTACTGCAAGCCAGGCACTGCACCAGGCCCAGGGGTACACGGTGACCATGGCGAGCCAGGTTCTGCCTTCACAGCGTTTACCCTCTGGGGGCTCACTCATCATTAATCCATCCCCCAAACATTGAACACTGCATGCCCAAAACTGAAATCATGCAAGTGTGTGCCACTGCTTCTAACTATGTGACTTTGTTTGAGAGAGTTAATTAATGACTCAGTTTCCTCTTTAAAACGGCCCTGTTTCCTCTTTAAAATGGAAGTTACGAAGCTGCTTACTCAGAGGGCTACTGGGGGCAGTGAATGCCTGGATGTTCCTTAGCATCTGGCCTGGCTAGAACAAGCTCTTGGAAAGCTGGTTATTGTTTCTGCTCTGTGCTCCTGGAGGTCCCACTCCGCAACAAAGTACAAAGGAACCCGAGGATCCCTTTCTTCCCTCTGGAGACGTTACCCCAGATTGCAATTGTTCATGAATTTGTGAATCAATTGGTTGGGTGTCCCTCACTCCAGCTGGACCGGGCCCTGCATGTCCTCAGTGTCTGATCCCAGGAAAAGATGCTCAGATGTCTCCGGGGCCTCCAGAACGCCAGGCTGACACTGTTGGAATCCAGAGTAGTGGGGTACCATCATGCCCCGACAGTCCCCACAATGGAGCGGCACCCAGAAAACACCCTTGCCCTCCAGGCACAGTCCCCGCCAGAGCTGGACATCTAGTCCGCTCCCCTCTGCGCAGGGAGCCCTGTTCTCACGTGGGGCTTGGGAACGGGTGCCGGGCAGCCGGCTTCAAATATGATGAGATGACACTGCGTTTTTGAAAGGGGCACGGGCCACCTCGTCTCGCTCTTTGCTACACCCACAGCTCCTCGCATCAGCTGGCATAAGGAAGTGCTCAGTACATATCTGCTGAATGAACTCAAGGCCATTTTTCACTGTCTAGTAGGCCCTTAAAGTATGAGCGTCCTCACCCTCTAGTTCCATTCCTACAACATACCTTAAGGAAATAGTCAGAGAACTGACTTTTAAGGACAAGGATATCGATCCTATCCTCATTTTTTAAAAGCAAAAAGGCGACAGAAGTAGAAAAAAGGGGGGATTGGTTAAGCGAAGGTCAAAGATAATCCAGCTGTTAAAAACAGTGTTTTCGAAGACGAGCGGGTGGTGGAAAGAAAAGTCCTCTGTAGAGAAAATTTTTAAATAGTCTGTAGAATTGATCCCAATTTTGTACAAATAAAATTATACTGCTAGAAAGAAAGACTGAAATGATATATGCCAATATGTTAACAGTGGTTAGTTTTGTGCAAGGGATTGAATGGAATGTACGTTCTTCTTATACTGTGTGCTGTGTTTTCTGCCATGAACGTTAATTTTAAAAGATTTTAAAGGTTACTTTTAAAGCGCCTCAGAGGCGACCCCCGCATCTGTCTCCTCCCCTGCGGCTCCTTTAAGGCCAGTCAAGACACTGAAGAGGCGGGGGTGCCAGACACCGCTGACGTCACGGGCAGCCCGAAATGACACGGCGGACGGACGAATCCCAAGTTCGGATTCCGGGAGCGGCCATCCGATTGGACGCAAGTGCGGGCGGCCTCGTCCAATGGCAGAAGAGGGGCAGGAGCCGGGCGGCGGCGTGGGTTTTAAATCCACGTGTTGGCGGGAGGGCGGGGCCGCAGCGGCTGCGCCTTGGGGCTGGTGTCCACTGCCCGGAATGGCGTGCGTGGGTGACCGCGTTCACGCCTTCTGCCGTCCTGGGCCTGTTCGTATCATCAGGTACCTCGGGAGGGTCCAGTGGCGCTCATCCATTCGCCAGACGTTTCCTGAGCATCTGCTCTGTGCCAGGCAGGGCCTGGTGGGATAAGATCGAGCCTTGGAGAGACGCGCTTTGAACCCCCGACTTCCACCTGTGTAACCATGGCAGGTGGCTTAGCCTCAGTACCCACTTCTCTGTGCTCCCCAGTTCTCGCTGTGTCTCCCCTGCACTGAGCTCTGCGGGGAGGAGGGGACGGTCGGAAGAACCCGCGTGTCTCCCCAGGGTCTGCCCCACGGTTTGTGCTCTGTATATACTTGTGGAGTAATTATCTCAAAGGCCAGTTCTTAGCACAGTGCTTGCCCCGTGGTAGGTGTTTGTTAAATGGGACTGTTCGGGCAATTTAAAAAAAACGGCAGCGAGTATTAAGTGCCTGCTATGTGCGAGGCGTTCTGGGCATTTGACCTGTGTCACCTAACTTAATATTCGTAAAATGGCATGTCTTATCTAACTTAATAGTCAAAGAATTGCAAGTCTGCTCTAATTTAATTTTCACGCACACGCACACAAATGAAAACGGGTTAGGTTCTTTCATTATTCCCATTTACAGATGTGGAGGGCAAGGGACTTTTCTAAGGTCCTGTGGCTCGGAGGTGGTGAGCCAGACTCAAAAGAGGTCCGTCTGTCTCCAGAACCCTGGGTCTTAACTCTTCTGCCCTTTCTCAGTATTTATTCATTAGTCAGTCTTTCTTTCCTAAGAAAATCCTCACACATCAGGCCTCTCACCCAGCAGGAAGGAAGAGAAGGTGCAGGAATCAGGTGGGCGAGGCACAGCCACACGAGCTGGGGTCCTGCCACCCACCGCATCGCCCAGTCCTGCTGGGTGGCAGAGGTCAGAGAGGGGTGAATAGACTAGCTGCCACTGGGGCTCGCTAGGCCCTGTGCTGGGCTAGGATGGGGGTACAGTGATGGGCATGACAGACCCATCCCGGCCCTTATGCGGCTGGCCATCTACACCAGCCATCACCAACGGGTGACTTGCAAAAGCCACATAAGTGCTTCCATAGAAAAGTCCTTCAGGAATTGGGGCCAAGCTAAACATCGCAGCTTCCCATTTGATACCTGCCACGTAATTTGTGGAACCCAGTGCAAACTAAAAATGAAGGGCTCCTTGTAAAAAATTATCAAGAATGTCAGGGTGACGCCCACAGAGCTCAGAGCCCCTTCTGAGGGCAGAGTCCCACCCCACAGATCGAGCCTTGCTCACCGCCTGCAGTCCGTGGTCCGGCAGCACCCTCCAGAACCACACGTGGCCGGACAGGTCTGCCCGGAGTGAATGCAGAGAGGAAGGTGACGGGCTGGCCGGGGAAAGGCTCCTGCAGGGCTGTCTGACCCTGCGGCTCGCCCTGGGAGTCCCAGTTCACAGACCCACTTGCCACCTGCGACTTTCTGTTTGCGCTCGTGGTTGCTCACATGCCGGGAATAAAGTGCACAAATCCGAACCGATGGCTCGATGACTTTTTCCGTCGCATGCACCCAGATCGAGAGAGAGCATTCCCGTCACTCTAGGAAGTTCCTTCCTGTCTCTTCCTGATTACTCCCCACTCCACCCCGTTGCGGAAGTAACCACCATGCTGCCTCCTCTCACCGTGGATTTGACCCGCCTGTTCTTGACCTTCATGTCGAGGGCATCGGACTGCACGTGCTCTCCTGCGCCTCTTTCACTGGTAAGCCTGGGAGACTTGTCCTCGTTGCTGTCCACATGCTCTGTTCCTTTTGCTCTGCGTCGTTGGTGACACACCTCAATGTGTCTGTCCTGCTGATTCTCTGGTTGATTTTGGTCATCTCCAGCTGTTGGCTCTTCCATCTCAGAAACACAATAATAATAACCACAGCCCTTCTGGTGCGTCCACTGTGAAAGGCTCCGTGCTGGGAGCTTCATTCCTGGAGCATCTCAGTGCCAGCCTGCAACCCGAGGAGGTTGGTCTTATCACCCCATTTTACAAATAACGGAATTGAAGTTGAAGGTTGTAAGTTGCTTGAGGTCCCGCAGTTGGTGAAGGATGGATTCGAACCCAAGTCAGTCTGTCCCTAGAGCCTCAGCTGCTGACCACGGGCTGGCTGTGTCTTGCTTGATATACAGAGCACTTTACATTTTTTTAAATTAACTGCTTATTTAACACTGAGGATATTTCACATTCACGAATCTGCATATCCGGCTCTTTCTGATAAATCAAAAATCGGACCGGGTGAGAGCTGAGCAGGTGCTGTCACCTGTAGGTGAGGACTTCAGGCTGTAGTGTGCCAAGCACAGAGACGTTGACAAGCACAGAGAAGGCCACATGACCTCAGGCAGAGATTGGAGTGATCCGGACACGAGCCAAGGAGCAGTGACAGGCACCAACCGCAGGGAGTCCCTGAGACAGGGCTCCCAGAGCCTCTGGAAGGGACGTGGCCCTGCCGGCACTTTGATTTCAGCCCTGTGACACTGATTTCAGACTTTTGGCCTCTGGAACTGGGAGAGAAAATTCCTATTGCTTTAAGCCGCCAAGTCTGTGATGGTTTGTTCGGGTGGCCCCAGGAACCGAAAGCGGAAGGTATAGAACTATTTTTCCAGTGTCTGCACCGCACAGCTTCCGATCTCAGCAGCCACCGCAGGCGACAGGGAGGGAGATGCAAAAGGAGTCCCACAGATGCCTGGTCCCTGTCTTTCGGGCGGCTCAAAACCACAGAAACTCCTCTTACGGCTCAGGAGGCCGGAGGCCAACATCGGCTGTCGGCAGGGCCGGGCCCCTCCAGGGGCTCTGAAGGAGGGTGCGCGCCAGCCCTCTCTCCCAGCTCCTGGTGGCGCCCGGCTCTCCTTGGCGTTCCGTGGCTTGTCACCGTGTCACGCCAGTTTCCGCCTCCATCATCACATGGCGTCTTCTCTGGGTGTCTCTGTGTCTTCATGCGGCCTTCTTATAAAGACCCTAGATCCGGTATGACCTCGCCTTAGCTAATGACACCAAAAGACCCTATCTCCAAATACAATCACATTCTGAGGTTAGACGGGAGCATGACTTTTGGGGGACACTAGTCAACCCGGTGCTGTCCTGTTCCCCGGGAATTACAATCTTCAGTTTCTGAAATGGGGCCTCCTCACTGCCCTCACTTTACAGACATGTGACACGATGCCCAGAGAGTGTAGGTCCCACGTCCAGCCGACGGAGCCCGGACCTGAATCCAGCCCGTCGGACTTGGAGACTGAGGCTCTTACCTGTCAGTGGAAAGACTCGAGTTCGGGATCAGGACAGCCAGGGTGGATGTGGGGGTGCCACTGTCCCCTTGGCAGCCACGACAACCTCTGCGTGTCTGATGCTGCCTGGTTTCTGGGTGCACCCCGGCCTATTCTGGCAGAACCGGAAGCAGCTCCTGGGTGCCGGGCCTCGCTCTGCGCCAACAGCTCCGGGAAGTGGGGGGCGTCTTTTCTCTGGCCTAACAGAGAAGGCGCGTCTCTGAGGTTTGGGGAGGACAAATAACCTACTGACGGCTGTCCAGTTACTGTGAGCGTCTGATCTGAATTCAGACCCCTTGGCTCCAGAGCCAGCCCACTCTGTCACCCCCTACGTGCCCCTGAGTCAGGAGGGAGAGAGAGCTGAGCCCTGGCCTGTCCTGGAGCCTGGGGCGTCTGGGTTTTAAAACGATGATTGTTACAGCAGCAGTGGCAGCAACGTCCTGTGGCTTCTTTCTCGCAAATCTTTTATTTTTGGCTGGAGACAGCTAATGCGTGGCCAGCGTATCCAAGGAAACCAGGATGCTCAGAGGGAGCTGCACCAAATCTCCACGCCGAACCGTCGGACGGCTCACTCGGGCTTCTGTAGTGATACATCTACTTTCGGATGCCCCTGTATCAATGTGCGCACTCCGGACAAATGCTACTGTCGGACGCACTCGTTCGGGGCGTGCGACGATGGGCCCCTTCTTTTGGGGGGTGCTCTCTGTTCCTATTTGCCAGCTTCCCGAGTGAGGCGTGATGCCTCCAGGTCTCCCCCTCCCGCCCCTCAGCCCACGTGACAGATCCAACTCGGGCCCTACGTCACGGTTTCTCAGTGGCGCCTCTATTGACATTCGGGGCCAGATAATGCTCTGTCCTGGGAGCTGTCCTCATGTTCAGCAGCATTCCTGGTCCCTACAAGATGCTGGTAACAATGTCCCCCAGCTGCGGCCACTCAAACTATCTCCAGACATCAGCATGTATCTGCTTGGAATGGGGTCGCCTGGTAAAATGCAGGACACCTGGGTACATATGGATGTCAGACTAACGATGAATCATTTTCAGTGTGTTTGTCCCAAATATATGCATAAGTCTGTCTCAGGCAGTATCTGGGACATACTTACACTCAAAGATGATTCATCGTTTATCGAAATTCTAATTTAACCAGGTGTCCGATATTTTTATCTGCTAACTCCGCCAACCCTAACTAGGGGGTAATCACTCCGGGTTGGGGTCCACCGCCTGGAGATCGGGTGCCTGACCGCGGTGCCTCGGTCTCCTCACCTGTACCATGTGCGTAGTA